AGATCTGACAAGCAGTGGGGCACAGTGGGAACTGCATGGGGTCAGCCAGACCCGAGTTCAAATCCCATCTCCACTACCTATTACCTGTGTCACCTTGGGCCAATCACTAGCCTTTTGTGGTTGTTTTGCAGATTCAATGGGATGATACAAGGAAAGCCCCAGGCACATACGAGTGCTCCATCAATGGCAGTTGGTGCTGTGGGTTTTGTTGTTATCATTACTCCAGTGGTAATGACGACTGCCAGGAGGCATTAGGAATAAAAAAATAAAATTACAAAAACACACATTTTTATTAGTCAAATAATTCCTACTTTTATTACTTAGCATTTAATTTGCAGCTATTTATATTGCAATTAGCTTGGCAATCATATTTCTCATTCCTGACAACTGGGTGGCTCAGAGTAACATTATTATGCCTGTTTTCTAGACGAGGGAAAGACAACAGTTCCATCTACTCTGTCTCCAGTTTCTGTGACTCCATGATGAAACACACCTGCAATCGTGTTCATTAGTTCCCTATGAAAAATCATATTCAGCCCAGATGGCAAATGCAGGAAAGGAGAATTAGCAAGCACTTGATAGCAACTCCAAAATAACATCTAAATAATCACTTCTGAACATTAAAGTTGTGGCAAACAAGTCCCCATTTATGTAAAGGTGTCAGAGAGGATTAAGGAGAAATGAACAAACACATTTTTCTTTATTCTTACTCATTTGGGAAATGTCTGACAGAGCTTAGAAATTCTATTTGAAATGCAGACAGAATAATGGTTCATTTCGTCTTCCATTAGCAGATAGGAATACACTAACATGCCCTGATATTTTCGTTTGAATCAGAGCTACAAAGGAGAAGAGATCATCTTAGGATGGAGAGACCCAATTCGCTGGGTCTCCAGATCCGCGAGAAGCCCGTGGAGTATGGGCAAGGGTCCCACAACTTCAAATGCACACCAAACACATCTCCAGCACGGAAGAGCGGCTTGCCTGTAAACGTCATCTTTGTCATACATACAGTTTCCATGAATGAAATGCAAATGTCTCTAGACATACTACTGAATGCACAGTCACTATATATAACCACTACTGCACAGGGAGGGGAGTCCTCAATGTTTTGTTGTTAAAAAGGGATCTTCATCAGAAAGGCCGGGAAACAGTGGCCCAGCGCAGCCCCCGCGTTGTACTGACTGGTCATCGGCAATCTTGGAGGCAGCCGGGACTCCGGTCTGGGATTTCTAATTCCCAGATGCTCTTTGTCCCACATCACACGTGCCCTCCAAAGGGAAGTTAGCAGTCATGGCTGCGCCCTGTTTCTAGTAACCCTTCTCTTTCTAAAAGAGGAGAGTATAGTCCTACCCTCTCTCCCTGGATATGTTCCAGAATTTTCTATACACCCTGAGCCTTTCCTTTCTCTTTCCTTCTCTTTCTTTCCCTCAACTCTGCAGTTTATACCTTTGGGTGGGCAGCACTGTACCCCTTTCAAGCTCTGAGGCTCAGTAAAGGACCTTGGATATTTACCTCATTATGAAGGTACTAAATAAGGAATGTGTTAAGTATGTATAAAGTGCACATATGCATGAATGTATTTTCCAGCTAAAACCACAGAACTCTATCTACAGAAAATAATTGGGATATTCATGAATCTGTTGGCACTAACAGACGCTCAAACTCCTAGCATACCAACTTCTTAAAATGCTGTCACTCTCTTATTTCAGTTTATTGTCTCAATTGTTCACTGGGATGTAAGTGCTACTGGAGTACAACTAGAACTTAAGTGCATTGCTGGTTTGATTCCTAGTTACGGCACATATCTGGGTTGCAGGCCAGGTCCCCAGTAGGGGGCGCATGAGAGGCAACCACACATTGATGTTTCTCTCCCTCTTTCTCCCTCCCTTCCTCTCTAAAAATAAATAAATAAAATCTTTATTTAAAAAAAATGTAGTTTCTGATGAGTGAGCAATTCAATTAAAAAGGAAAAAAGAACTTAAATACCATGACAAGAAGAAATATTATCTATTTTATTCACAGCTCTTCCCCCCAATATCTAAAACAGTGCCTGGCACATAGTAGGCATTCAACTAACGTTTGTTGATTGAGTGAATGACAGAAATTAGCAGGCACGACAAGTTTATTTATTCATTGTTTAGCCTACACGTGGTTTTATTTTTATTTGAGAAGACAGAATGGTCTCCAAGGGAGGAACTGAGCCCTGAATAATCTTTTCAGGCTTCGATTCTCCTGTAATATTTGACTTGACATCTTTCTCTCAAACATTTAAAGTAATTCTTCAAAACTATACAAGTAATACACTCATTTTAGGTAAATCCGATACTACCAACATATTAAAAGAAACAAATACAAGTCCCCTATGAGCCTGTCATCCAAGGATGACACAATCAGCATGCTCACGACAGCCTTTCAGGCTGTGGCCCGTGCACATGTGCGCACACACACACACTTGACACATTCCCCGAACTCTGCCCTGTGATCTATGGAGCTTTTTCTTTGTTCCCTGAGCCCTTTTTGTTTGTCCCCTGTGCTGGCTCCTTACCCTCCCTCCTCCTGCGTCCTAAATACATGCCTTCCCCAAAATTCAGATCCTTAGTTCAAGAGGGTCTTCCCCCTGTTCCTTCCAGAAGATTCATCTATGCTTACTCAACTCTAAATTCATTGTGGGTGTCTTACATCTTCAGCTTCAGTCTTTCCTCTCTTCTGGGGTACCAGCACCCTCCATGTCTGAAACTAAAAGCACCCTGTTCCAACAAAACCGGATCACTCTCTCGTCTGCCCCATTTCTGTCGACGGTAACAAAGTTCTAGAGGGTACACTCAGTGGAGACATTTTTGGTTCCCCGACCCCACTCAAAGTGACTTTCATCCTTCCTTCCAGTTATCTCCCTCATCCTTCTCTTCCCATTGCTACCCTGATTGTTCAGACCCTTTTATATTATTCTGCCTGGGTCTCCTGCATTTTATGTAACTGAACACCCATCAAGGTTACCCGCCGCTGCCGGTTAGGTTCCTAAAATACCACTTCCATCTCGCCTCTTCTATATTCATAAATTTCAGATGGCTTTGTGCTCTTACAGAATGGTATTCCAGCTCCTTCTCCATCTCCCCTCAGACTACTTTTCCATCCTCATTTCTCATTATTCTTAAAAATAAACCCCATGCTCCAGCCAGCCTGGTGTTCTCAGTACACATCCAGCTCCAAAACATTTAATTGTGACTTAGGTATTTATTAAGCACTTATTATGCGTAAAATCCATTCACTCATTCAACAAATATTTATCGAGCCTCTATTTTAGCAGGTAAGGTACTGATGCTGGGGATGCAAAGGTGAACAAGACACACCAAGTCCCTGTCCCCATGGGGCTGACAGGGGAACGAGGAGATTCTGAGACAGAGGGGTCCCAGCTCAGGGTACTTCCAATCTCCCCTTAAAATGTCACATGAGTCAAGAAATCTCTGAGGACTGAACTTTGTGGCCCAGGCTGCAAGTGGGGGAGGATTCAGAAGGAAGGAGGGGCTGAACGAGGAGAGCTGGGGTGTGGGACTCAAAGAAGCATCAGAGGATGGACTTACAGAGAAGAGGGTGCCCCCCACCCAGGGATATGAGGAAAGGCACAAAGGTGGGACCGAAACAGCCGCAGCAACGACATGGGCTAATTCTGTCCAAAGGCGCGTTCAACACTACTGAGAACACACGCTCCGCCCCTGCGGGGCTCCAGGAGCTATGCGGACGGATGTGGGGATGACTCACACTTGGTTCCTACCATAGAGGGATGTTCACCGAACAAGGAGGACAAGGCAGGTCCATGATGATTTATCACCCCCCCCCCCCCAAAGTGAGACATTCCATTAGAGGTTCCGAGAAAAACATCAGGGAAGTTCACAAGGAGGTACATGTCTGGGTTCTTATTACAGTATTTATAGAATCAAATGTTTTTCTACATGTATGGGCATCGATTGAAAATAACTATCTTGTTTCAAAGTGTTTTCTCCCTCCCTTTTTCCTTTTCTTCTAAGTCAATTGGGCAGAGTAGATAAACCGTGTTTTCCAGATGCGCAATGTGCGGCGTAGGAGGTTGAAGTCATCAGCATGGGTCAGAAACGCAAAAGGCAGGAGAACGTGAACACCTCGTGCATCTCGACCCGTTTCTGCAGCAGGAGGATCGAGCAGAGGGCGTGCACTGGAAGTCCTAGAATTGTCTGTGACACCTGGCCAGTGCAGTGCCGCCAAGCAGGCAGCTTGGATTTAAAGGGGCAGGACGCAGGCAGCCTCTGACGGTTCTGGAGAGGGAACAGGACCCCCGTGACAGCCTTTCATTCCCCCTTCTCAAGGCTGGCCGGTAACACCCCCGTCCTCTAAGCCTGTCTGAACCATAACCATCCATTAAGGTTCACCCCAAATCTTTTCGGCCCACAGTTTTTCCCTTCCACTGATTTCATCCCACCAACCTCCCCGGGGAGGGTGCGTCAGACGCCCAGCCAGAACTCTGCTCAGCTTCCGGCAGCTAGTTCAATATCGGCCAGATGAGTACATTCCCCGGACCTGCACAGCTTCGAGGGCATACCCTGAGGTCTTACATCCCTCCCCAGGAGCGCAGGCCGGCACGGGCCGCCCTCGCCATCCGGAGGAGCTCCGGGCCGCAAGGAACGAGGGGGTGGATGGCGCAGGCCCATGGCCACTGGAACCAGCGCGCCACCCCAGGCTCGTGTCCCGGGTTGGAAGCCGGGACAAACCTTTCCACGCTTCTACAAAAAAGCGCTCCATGAGATCGTTAATACTTCCCTATCTGGGAAACACTGAGGAAAGGTGGTGAAAAACGACGCCAGGATAGCACTAGCAGAGGCATATCCCTCAAGAAGGATGAAAGAGGAGGGCTCAGGAGCCACTCCCGGCTCCCGCCGCCTGGGTAGGGAGGGTTCCGAGACGGGAAGCCTCGCGAGAACTGGGGTCAGACGCTCGTTGCGTTGCCTAGCGACGCGAAGGACGCTCGCAGGCCCCCAGCCTAATCCCCGCAGTAGCCTTAAATCTCCTACCATGGGGGAAGAACGCGGCCGCAGCGGCAGTGAGACCACTAGGGAGCGGCAGAAGCTGAAGCAGCAGGCTCTGGAGTACTACCGGAAGAACGACGTTCCGCGCAGGCTGGAAGAGCTGCTCAACTCCACCTTCTACCTCAAGCCTGCCGACGTCTACGGGCACCTGGTAGGGACCTGGGACAGCACCCTCTTCCATCCGGACCCCGTCCCCCCCGCCCTGCGCTGCGGCAATGCGGTGCGCCTGCGCCGCGGAGGCGCGCACGCGCGCCGCTGCCGCAGGGGTTGGGATCCTGGTGATGCCTAGGGACGATCCAGAAGTGGAGACGCAGAGCGGCCACCTGGGAGCAAGGAAGTTCGAGAAAGTGGTGGACAGGAAGAGCTCGGGGACAGTGGGCTCGAGGTAGATTTGTAGCTACGGCGACGGCTTGGACCGAACAGGCTTCCTCGCTACCTCTGGGCAGGCCTGTCCCGGCTGCCAGTTGTTCTTGTAGACACAGACCATGACACTGCGTAGCTTAGTTTACCAATCTTCAGCGGCCTCCTCTTGACCACGGGATGAACGCCTTGGCATTCGCTACACTTCTCCTTCAGCCGACCCCGGAGACTCATACCTAGCCCACTCCCATTGCTTCCGAGTTTCACTCAAATCAAGCCTGGATGCCTGTCCCCATCTGACCAGCTTTTACCTAAACTTGCCGTTCAGATCAAGTCCTGACCGCTGTGCCCTGGGCTAATCATCCTTCTGCGTTCCTAGTTCTTGTAGCATTTTCTCTACATGCATTGTGAGCTCCCGTGGAGAGCTGGCGCCTTTTCATATCACCTTCCTTGTTTCTGTGCCCAGTGTGATTTCTGGCACAAACCTTAGCCTTAAGCAATGAGCAGTTGAAACAAAGGCAAGCATTTTCTCACTTCCAGATCCATAGGTACTAGCCAACACCTACCTTCTGGAAAGCAATGTGGTTGGGACTGGCAGGAAATCGCACTGTGGTGAGGCACCCTGACACCACCAAGTGCTGTGTGTAAATGCTGCGAAGAAGCCCGATGTGTTTACAGGGTTCAAAAGCACATCTTGTGGAGGCAGCTAGCCCAGAGGATGCTTCGTGAATGTTTCTTTTTCTCAGTCATGGCCTATACATCAATGATGGGGATGGCATGGAGGGAGGTGTTCACGGACCTCCTTGGGCTGTGTGCTTTATGTTATTTCACTTAATCCTTAGGATCCCTGTGAAGTAACAGTGATGATTCCCGTTTTACAAATAAACTGGCCCAGTGAACTTAAATGATTTTCCCAAGTGGCACAGCAAACAACAGCGAGAAATCAAAACAGGTCCCTAGGACCTAGCAGAGCTCATGGTCCATGTGGACACTTCAGAACTATTTGTGGAAGGAAAGAGTGAGTGCAGGTCCACTCTCCACTATTTTCTGCTGGAGGCATTCTTGAAAGTTAACCAGTCTAACCTCATTTTACAAAGACACTAAGCCCTTATCTCTTAGTTACTTAGAACAAAGGCTAAGGCTGGAAACTTGGACTCTGGGTCCCTTGTGCAATGCTCCTCGCAGCCAAGACTTGGATTTTGTAAAGCCCTTTGAGAGTTTATATTTGGGTTAGGGACCAAAGCCACTGATACTGAAAAAGGGATCATAGATCAGGTGATACAGAGTTGGGTGCTAGCCTGAGGGACAGATCACATATGCTTATTAAAGGATTCAGGGATGGGAAAGATCCTTGTGGGCTGTGGCACCTGGGAAAGCTTTGACTTGGACTTTGAAGGGCGTTTAGGAATTTGAGTTGGCAAAAAAAGCAACCTCCTTTTCATTTCTTATCAGTGCCCTAGTTTTGGCCTTCCTTATTCTCACCGAGCCTCTCCTCCTGTTGAGTCCATCCTGTGCAGTGCTGCCTGAGCGGTGTTCCAAATCCTGAATCTGACCGTCCTTCTTTTGCTTGCTTAAAAACCTCTTGTGGCTCCCTGTTGCATTCTGAGTGAGATCAAACACCTTCCCATGTGTGAGTCATAGTTGCTCCCCTCTGCCTCTGGTAACACCCCACTCCCTCCACTGCTCCTCCATACAGGCCCACTCCTCCCTACAGCCTGAGGTTTCCCACCTCCGTCTCCTTTGTTTATCCCAGTCCCTCTACTGGAAGTATCTGCACTGGACTTCTCCCCATTGTCTCCCTGTTGAAATACTGCACCTCCACCAGGGTTCAGCTCAAGTGCCATTTCTTCTCTTCTTCTCTTACACATCAGAGGATTCAGATCCTGTGGCCAATAGCAGTACTCTTTATTCCTTTATTATAAAACTCATAAGTGAACAAGTTTGGGACTGGGAATCGGTCAGATTCTAAGCATCTGGGTTTGATATTTAGCCCTGCCACTCAGTAGCTATAATAGGCTGTTATAGCGATGGTCCCCAGTGAACCATACCACCGGTGTGAATGGACTTATGTAAGTCCCTTCTACATTGATTTTGAATGTGGGCTTGTGAGTGACTTGCTTTTATCAACAGCACATTGGCAAGCATGACGCAGAGGCTTGGTTAAGTGCTGGCATATGGAGGCTTGTAGTCTTGGAACACACCTTAGAATCCAGTCATTATGCTGCTGCCTGCGAGGACATCCGGTTCTGCTGCTGGAGGAAGAGGTTGTGTAGGGAGAGACCATGGCTGTTGTGGGGCCACTGGGACACCCTGCTGTCCCAGCCATCCTGGCTGAGACACTGCGTGAAACCACCTTGGGTGCTGTGGGTCCCGTTGAGTCTCCAGATGACTGAATCTGTGAGACTCCAGTCAAAGCATTATTTGCCCAGTTGAGCCCAGCCCGGATGGCAGAGTCATGAGCCTGCTTTGCTTATTAAAGGGCCCAATACCATCTGGTGACAGGGTGGTGAGGAGGGTGGACCTTCACTTTTTCTTCCTTCTCTCTTAGCTCCCGAGTAGAAACACTATCTTACATTTTTTTTGTTGTTGTTCAGGCTCCCTGAGTGAGCTTTCTACCTCAGCTTCATTCTCTTTCTTGGATCACTTCCAAATGGCTTCTGCTTTCCACATCAGTGACACTGCTATTACTAAGTTTCCCATAATCCTCTCTGAACACAATTCCAGGCGTGAACTGATGGTCAGTGCAATACAGCCTCTGCATAACTCTTCGCCATCAAACCATCAGATGCCCTGCTGGGAGGAATAAAAACGGGCCCACTTAAGGTTTCTTAAGTTCGAATGCATCAGTGTTCTAGAGACCAGTTGATTTCGGTGTTTTGCACAGAAGGGTAGGGTTAGGGCCAACGAAAGAGTGACATGGGGCCTTGAAATTAAGAAATCTGTGTGAGTTTCTGTTGAGAGTTTAAAAGACCAGTCACCCCACGTACCAGAGACTCAGCATCCCACTGCAACCAAATCTCAGGGAGTGAGGGTGGGTACATCCCACAGAGCTGCTCGACCAATCCTTGCACGAGGAGGACCCTTGGGGAGAAGGTTAGTGGAAATGAGAATCAATGTGAATGACCTTGAAAGATACATTGGATGTGGTATTCTGATTTCCTTTTTCTTTTTTCCCTGTGTTGAAGGCAAACTGCTTTTCTAAACTCGCAAAGCCTCCGACCATATGCAAAGTGGTGGGGAAGACTGTGCTGGATGGACTGGGGCTTCCCACCCTGCAGGTGGAAATGTTCTGCACCGTCCAAAACTTCCACAAGGTACGAGGCAGCTTAAAGGTGTTCTTCACTCTGTCCTCGCCCCACTGCGTCTGCTGTCTTCATTGTGGAAAATGAATGTTTTGACATTCAGTGTTTGCGATCTTGACACACGCATACAATTTGTAGGTAGACATGTACATAAAGCATGATGGCTTTATTATGTTTAAGTGTGATATGGTACAGACAGGACATGCTAACTTGAAGATAATCCAAGAAGGAAAAAGGAAATGGGGCCAAAATCGTTTTAAAATCCTGACATTATTAATGTGATGGGTTCCATAAATCTATACAGGTTTATAGATTGATATCTTTATATCTATACTCGCATAAATTTCAAGATATATAGACTGAATCACGTGAAGAAAAATGCATTTTCATAATTTTAATAATTCATCTTCATTGCTACATATTTGTTGTTAGAAATAATTTTGCTACCGTCTCTGGGAGGAAAATAATTGTGAGTGTGTATCCTTGTAGCTATTTATTGGAGAAATAGTGATAGAAATGAACTTCAGTGTAAGGTTTCTCTAAGAGGATTCTAACAAGGTAATAATTGTAAATGTTCCTTGAAGCTGGGTTTCACAGTGTTTCAATGGCTATAAAAATACCTCAAGGAAAATTATGTATTCTCGTTTGCCCTTTGAAATTGGTGATAAAATATCATGCACATGATACAAAAGGCTGGGTACAGCTGATCTCCCACTTGCTGCGAGAGGCAGAGACGATGGAGAACCGATGTGTGTGACTTTCAGAGCATATGTTCTGTGGCGATGGCGACTGACTTCGAGGTGCAGGAGAACGCCTTCCCCGAGCTGGCGGAGGGGGAGGAGGCGGAAAGGCTGGACGCCATCAGCACGGCCATACAGTGGGTCAACGAGACCATCACCCAGGACCTGCAGGGCCTCGAGCCCTCCAGCCAGGCCGAGGTGGACCAGGTGCTCAGGTAAGTCTTCCACCTGGAAAGGCAAGTGTCCGGTATAAGTCGCTGTCTGTTGTCTTCCCATTTCACCTGCCAGTCAAACAGGTCTGGCGTACCCTTGGGTACAGTCGGTTAGTCGGTTAAGAAGCATATGCTAAAGCAGCAAACTTTAGCATAACAGGTTTTTCTTCTGAAAACTATTATCAACATCTTACTGTATAAGGACTCTCAACCTTTTTTTTGTGCACAGAGTTTCTTTTAATTCAGTACAAAGTTTCTCAGAAATAGAATTAAGGATGGAGACGGCGTCCCCTCCCTCTCCCCACCTCCTCACGGGCCCCGGGTTGAGCGTCCCGTGGCCGTTTATACGGTCACTGTGAATGCATGACGCTCGTCTTCTGTCCTCCAGACCCAACCAGGTCTCCCACGTCGTGCCCGTAGGCTGAGTCTAAAATGTGATAGCCAAGGGCCTGTTTATGGGGGCTTTGTGAGTGTTGTTCAGTGCCCAGCTAGGCAGAGGTTAGCATTACTTTTCCATTTGCTCCAGTCCAGGGCCACAACCCTCCTGGCCAAATGAAGGTCAACTGGACTCTTTCTCTAAGCTTCATCCTTGGCTTAATTGTGCACAACATCATATTTTAGCTTGCTTCAGAGTTGGATCATGAACTTTGTAAAAACCTTTTTAGAATAGTTTTGGCTTCTGAGTGCTATTGAACTTACTGCTTTTTTGTGTGTCTGTATCTTCTCTGCTGTCATCATATCCTTAGTCCGCGCCACTCCCCTGCGCCCCCAAGATCTCTGACATACTTTCTGTTCTATACGTTCCGTCTTCTCTGGAGCTTCCCTTGCCCAAACCTCCCCTTTGGACTGGTTCTTCTCCGGGCCTCATGCACAGATGCCGTAAGACACCCTTTCCTGTTCTCCTGTTGCCTGCGTCCCACATCTTCCTCTTTCTTAACGTGCTGGATTACATCCTTTAAAAGTAAGGATGAGCCCTGGCTGCCGTAGCTCAGTGGATTGAGCGCGGGCTGCGAACCAAAGCATCACAGGTTTGATTCCCAGTCAGGGCACATGCCTGGGTTGCAGGCCACAGCCCCCAGCAACCGCACATTGCTGTTTCTCTCTCTCTCTTTCTCCCTCCCTTCCCTCTCTAAAAATAAATAAATCTTTAAAAAAAAGTAAGGATGAGAAAGGAATGCCAAGCTTTTCAGTGCTTACATGTGTTTAAATGTCAGCACTTGGCCCCCACGGTCGACGGTTTAGCTGAGTACAGAATTCTCGTCTAAAATCATGTTCTCTCAGTACTTGAACATCACTGCCCCGCCACCGTCTGGGTTATTACTAAGCCTAAGGCAAATCAGATTCCCATGTCTTTGATGGCCTGGTTTTGTTGTGGTTGTTTTTTTTTTTTGTTTGGTTGGTTGTTTTCTTTTTTGGCCTATGGAACCTTTTTTCCTCTTTTTATTCTGAGTGGCTGAAATTTTATGTAGACGTACCAAAGTGAGATTTCCCAATTTTTTTAACTATTCATTTTAAGCCCCACCCTCCAAAAAAAAAAAAAAAAGAAAGAAATCTTTCGAATAGCACTATATATTTCACTGTCTAAAACAGGACCAAAATTACGAGTGGTATTCCTAAATACGCCACTGTACAGCCATATTTTCTTGCCACTAGGACATTCTTTGAAAATAAAGTACAAGAAGATAAGGAGAGAAAAGAGTTGGAAAAGGGCCTAGAAGACTCAGCAGAGCCCACCCCTGCACCTGTAACACCAGCATTGCCTCCTCCTCCACCTGCAGCCAAAAAAAAAGGGCAAAAGCCAGGTTGGTGGCTTATCATCCCGCAAAACCTTCGGTAACAAACGTGTGAGGGGAAAAAAAGGCCGAAGCTCAGACCGCTTTGTTGCGTCAGAGCCTCTGCAGGAGACGTGGGTGGGCTTCCGCCAGGCACCGTCCGTCCTCCACGCCACGTCCTTGCTTGAAGCTTCTGTGTTGGGTTGTCGGGGGTTTGCTTCATCCCACCCTCTGTTTCCTTTAAAGGTTTTATTTTTGTGCTTTTGGAGAGAGAGGAAGGGAGGGAGAAAGAGTCGGACAGAAACATCAGTCAGTTGCCTCTTGCACGCCTCTAACCAGGGACCCGGCCCACACCCCAGGCATGTGCGCTGACCAGGAACTGAACCGGCCGCCCTTTGGTTTGCAGGATGATGCGCCACCCACAGAGCCCCACCCGTCAGGGCCCACCCTCCACTGTCTTTGTAAGATAAACATACTTCTCACTCAGAAGTGAGCACTTACTAAATAAACAAAGTGCACTCAACAGTGGCAATGCCAGAGACAGGTAGGGGGAAGGGGAGGGTGGCATGGGGGACCTTCCACTATCCCCCAAAATCTCCACCAGTGCATCAAGAAGCCACTCTGTATTTTAAAGAGGACCAGTATTTTCTTAGTCCTACGTAACATATTAATAAAAAAAATTATTTGGAAAACTTCGCTATTTTAAAGCAAATAATCCAAGTTATCTATCATGGCCCTTTGCTCCGTTCCTTCCAACAGATTGCTAACCTCGGTCCCTCTGGTGTGTTAGTTCTGGAGCTGCCGCTAGGGTTGCACCATGTTCTGTGTGTCTGTGCAACTAGAACACGCTCCTTGAGGGCATGAATCATGTCTTGTTCAATCTAGCGCTGCCAGTGCCTGCCGTGATGCCCGGTGCCAACTAAATACCCACTCAGTGCGGGTTCCACAGAGTAAGAAAGCACCAGAACCCGGAAGGGGTCAAAGAGACTGTGGAGACAGTGTCTTATTTCATAGATTTAGATACTGAGGCCTGGGATGGGGAGGAGAGTGGCCTAAGACGAAACAATCATGTCAGACCAATCTCTTGGGAGGGTGAGGACAGCCACTACTGAGTTATATGTAGAGACCACCAGTGGATATTCATTTGGGTGTTGCTTTTGACTGATACGACTTGGAACACGAGAGCAGGGAAGAAGACAGAGGGGGCAGTAATTTGCTAAACACCTCCTATGTGCTAGGCGCTTATATCTTTTCCCTCTTATTCCACTTCCTTGACTCAGGCCAACAGCTGTGGGGAGGACGAGGCCAAGAGGGATGCTAGTGATGGGGAATGGGCTCTGTGGTACCTGGTCAGACTGGGTGGCTGCGCACATAGGCGAGGGAAAGATGAGAAAGCATTCTGAGTGGCTGGCTGGCTGGGGAAGGCATTTCTAAAAGAAAAAAAAAAGGCATTGGTTGGGGTCTGGCAAGAAAGATAGTCAGATGTATCTATGCAGAGATGTTCAGCGACAAGTTGGGCATGCAGGAATGCTGGTGGCACAGAGAACAACAAAGGATTTGAAATCCAAAGACTGTCCAGATCCTCTCTTTATTCACTGTCTGATGGGTGTTGGGCAGCTCTTCCAGCGTCTCTAAGCCCTAGTTTAGCTCTGTGTGAATGTGGGATAACGAAGCCTGCCCGTATGACTGAAGAAGCTAATGCTGAGTTTGCTAACAAGTTCGCAGAGAGGAAAAACCCACGCCCAAGGACCAGTTGAGCACCGGGGAGGGGTGCATGAAATCAAACAGAAAACTGACTCAAGGTCGAGGTGGAAAACATATTCTTCCCAACCTCAGTTGTTCAACCTTTATGCTGGGCCTTCGTATCTGTAAGGGAAGTATTAAAAAAATACAGTTTTCTTAGAGTCCAACTCCCTAAGAGGAGTCTGTTATCAATATTTTTCCCTCCAGCTACGAAGGCTTCTTTTATAGAGAAACCTATCGTGCCTCCCGAGCCCGCTGAACCCGTGCTCTGTGGCAGCATGGCCGTCGGGGCCGTGTCACTGGCGGCGGCCAAAGCCAGCGCCGCGCTGAGCAGCAGTCCTCTGTACTTCAGGATCGCTCTGCTGAAGCGCCAGCAGGTTAGTGCCCGTTGTGTCCCACGGCAAGGGCCCACGGGTGTCTCAGTGTGAGTGATCCGTGCTTCCCCTCTCCTCTCGCCTTCCCCCTCTTCCAGGAACCGCCAGCCAAGCTGACCATCCCTCTGCTGATGGTATCTCTGGTCAGCTGTGGGAAGTCATCGCCTGGGAAGCTGAATTTAATGAAAGAAGTGATTTGTATACCCCATCCTGGATTAACCGCTAAACAAGTACCTTACCTTCTCTCCAACTGCTTTTGCTAAAAAAATATATGCTCCATCGCCCACGAGTTTTTAGTGTAGGTCCCCAAAGCACGATGACACCGAGAGAGAGAGGGAATTAGATATGGAACGAGAAAATGTCTTTTAGGGAATCGGGGGGATGGTAGGAAAGCAGGACCTCCAACCAAAGGGAACACATTTAGGCCGCCCTAGACCTCCAGTTCATTGCAGCACCGACTCACGCTCGTGATTCCCAGACAAGCCCCTTGCGAGCGGCTCTGTGGGCCTCGGTGCTGCTGGAGGGGCGTACCAGGGCAGCTGAGATGTCTTTATTCCCTGGTCCGTGCACAGCAGCAGCAGCCAGAGGACGCTGGCACTTTCCTAGCAGCCCGTTCTGTTAAGGTACAGCTGCCGGGCCCGAGGACGGCGGATGGCGGGTTGCCTGGCCCGTGAGAGAGGTGTAGGGCCTGTGGATGGACTAGGGAATGAAGGAAGCCTAAATCGCGTTCCTACTACCTAGTGGTGTGCTAGGCTCTGTGTTGGTTTTCGTGTCCTGAATTGTACTCCTTTGGCCCCTTCGTTGGGCGTTGGGGGGGACTCGGTGTTCCTGTTCTGTAGGGGTGTTTTCAGAGAAAGTACAGGGAGCTCCATCCCCTCTCGTAATACACTGAGTGAGAGAGACAGTGAAGGCCACGACTTTGAAATCTCAAGATGGTTTGTGACCAAGAATTCTTTTTTGAAAAGAATAACCGTTACCTCCCAGTCTATCCATCCTAGAAGCCCAGGATTTGTGCCCGCCAGGTCAAGTTCAGATCCTGGCATCAGGCAGGATCTTCCCTGTAGTGAAGACCCGCTGTGCTGCGTGGGTCCCAGGGCACTGGGCACGCCACTCTTTATCTGTCTGCATGTGCAGATGCCACCATCCCCAGAACACACCTTTCTACTTTTCGAGCGACAGTGGGTTTACACCAAGTCAAGCACGATCGTGCAGAATCCCTTTGTGACCTGTGGTGTCTGCCACAAGAAGGTCCGTCAAGAGACCACGAAACAGAGTGGAGTTAACGTGACCCGACCAGCCGAGCCGGTCGGTTCTGAACAATGGAGAGCATGAGCGAGGCGGAAGAGCCTCCCGGCCACGGTGACCAAGGGAAAACTGGGGGCTGAGGATTCGCATTTAATCTTCTGATTTTGCAGACCTTGCCAGGGACCTTGCAAATATTCTGGGTTAGAAATAGCCATGTGCGGCGTAAGTTTTTATTTTTAAACTTCGAGACTGCAGTTGTGGAAGATCATGTTTATTTTACCTACAGGGTGTGGAGATGCTGATGGAAATCCAGAAACAAATTAACAAAGCAATCGAAACGGTATGTAAAGAGGATGGATGGTATCTGATGGCTGACTCTCGTATAACTTCTAGCACCCAAATTATACTTGGTTATGGGGTTAAATCAATAGCGTTATTGACGTGGAAAATGTGTCGATGTGCTTTGGGTTTCCCATAGGCGCCAAGCTTAGACACTCCCTCGCTGGCTGTGGATCCAGCTTATCATGGTGCTTAACGGTCTCGTTTTGATTTCTGAGGCAGCTGGCTCCGTGCAAAGATCATCCCTTAGGATCCATAGAGAAAGGAAAGATTCGGACCCTAAGATGTGAGAGGCGGTTTGGCATGATGGGTAAGGCACAGACTCCTGTGTCTGCTTAGAATTCCGGTGTTGGGCAAGCAAGTGCCCTTGGCCAGGCAGCCCTTGAGGAGAAAGTCACAGAGGCAGGACAAGGCAGCTGTACAGGTCCCCAGCTGTCCTGTGGTATCCTACCTGCGGCAGTGCACATTGACGTAGCAGGGCTGAGGCCAGGAGAGGGACCCAATCCTTGTCTCTGGTGCTTTTAAAACTCTCTCTCTCTCTCTCTCTCTCTCTCTCTCTCTCTCTCTCTCTCTCTCTATATATATATATATATATATATATATATATATATATATATATATATATATATATATATATATAAGTTTGCAGAGATTAATACAGAGTTCCCAAATACTCCTCCACCCAGTTCCCCCCAATGTTAACCTGACACATTACCATAGTATGTCAAAACCAAGAAACCAAAATGTACATTACTATTAAGGTACATTTAGGTACATTACTATTAGCTAAACCAAAATGTACATTACTATTAAGGTACATTAAGGTACATTACTATTAGCTAAACTGGACCATATTCAAATTTCACTGGTTTCCCCACTAATCCCCTCTCCCCGTTCCAGGGTCTAACCCAGGACCCCAACGTTCACATAGTGGGAGGCTTTTGGAAGCACCGGACGCTCCCCTGGAGAACGGTGGGGGCAGGCCGTGCAGTTGACTAGACTGGCTCCAAGCACCGCCTGGGGCCAGCTTCTGGGGCACTTTCAAGGGGCCACCTTCTTTATTAGTGACCAGCCTTCAGAGACCCAGATTTGGACAAGTTAACCCTGACCTTGCACTCTGCTTTGCCCCTCATCAGCTGCGTGACCCTAGGCCAACTGCATAATCTCTCTGCCTTGGGGTCCTCGTGTATAAAACGGGTCTGACAAATACCCATCTTACCGGGAGACTGTGAGGAGTGAGTGAGTTGAATACAAGTAACGTGCTCACCCCTACCAATAGGAGGGAGCAGGACGTAATGGTGGAGGAAACCCAGCTTCGAATATGAGGAAATTCAGGACATTTGAGCTTTGTGCCATCGTCCTGACTTTCAAATATTGCTTTTTGATTATACAAGGAGCTCATGAATGTTCTTGTGAAAATTCAAATGCTGCTAGAGGTAGCCACCCCTGCCACCAGGTCCCTGCTCCCTACCAGCTACCACCCTCAGTCCCCGAGTCCCCTGACTAGAGGTGAGCACCTTAAAAATTCAGTGCATGGCCTTTCAGCCATTTTTTTCCTTACTTTTTCTTTTGTATTTATACACCTTAAACAGACAGATACACACACAAATACATGAGGGGGAATGCAAAAAACCCAGGATTATCTTCTGGAGGGTGAGCCCCTTGTAGTACAGGCTTCCCCCACTAGACAAGTGTTCTAGGAACCCATCTGTGTCCGTATACCAGCTGGCGTTGTTGTGAGAGGCTGCATTCTGCTTCAGTGAATTTTTTTGAAGACTCTTTCAACGCATTTGCCCATTTCATGATGGCTGATTTATGAACACACCTGCCCGCACTGCACTGAGTGCTTAGCAGTTTTTGACCAAAAAGTGGTATGACTCCCCATGCCCCACCCTCCCTATTCACCTGATCTCCCCCCGCCGAGTAACTTTTGTTTCCCTGGGTGAAAGAAGTCCTCTAAGGGACTCATTCTGCTGATGTGAAAGAGATGAAACAAAAAATGGCAGAAGCATTTGAAATCAATGAGTTCAAAACGGTTTTGAAACAACAAAAAAAAAGTCTCAGTAGGTGTATTGCTTCAATGGAGAGTACTCTGAAGGTGACTGAAGTTTAAACATGTAAGCATACACAATATTTATAAATAAATTCCAAGTTTTTTTTAGTCCTCCCTCGTATATAGTGTTTTTGTGTTTAAAGTAATATAAAAATTTGGCACAAATCGCTGCAAATTGCTTTCTTGGCCCTTTTCATTGAGGGTTCATCTTTTACTGACATCCAGGAATTTTTTGTACTGTATAATAAAGGCTTCGATTCTGTTACACATATTTTCCTCTGTCATGCTGCCCACCTCTTAACTGCACGTTATGGAGTCACAGGGATTTTTTTCTTTGTAAATTTCGACAGAGTAAAATGCATTCGCGTGCTCTTGTAAGGCAGTGGTTCTCAACGGGGAGTGACGTTGCCGGGGGGATGTTTGACAATGCCTGGAGACATTTTGCATTGTCCCAGCCTGCAGCAAGGGCTCTCCTGGCACCTTGGAGGCTGAGGCCAAGAAGGCTGCTAAACATGGGCAGTGCACTAGGCAAGCCCCCAGAGCAAAGGGTCACCGGCCCGAAGGATGCCTAGGGGAGAGGCTGGAAACCACGCCCAAAGGCTATTGCTGTGGCTCTCGGGTTCCTAAGCCCACACTTCCTCGGCCCTGGGCCCCACACACACTTCTCTTCACCCAGGGAGTTCAGCACTCCCGTGTGTGCCGCCCGAGTACCAGCTTCTCCAGAGCCCCCTTCCCTGACTCATGTACACCGACGTCTCCGTGCTCTGCCCTCCCCTTCCCACTCCATCCTCCCTGCTTGCGGCCCGTGTCGCCACGGCTGCCCGCCTGGGTCACTGCTCCCTGAGGCAGCGTCAGCCTCGTTCACCATGGACTCCCTGCTGCCCGGCACACAGAGGCGCCCCCGTGTCGTTGTGGCCAGGGGATGGAAAGGGCAGGGTGACTGTATTTGCTCACACTTGAGGGTGAGCCACGCTGAGTCCTGACAGACGTGACCCGGCTTAGAGATCCGGTCCGCGCTGGGCACAAAAGTGCATCCTTATCAAAACCCCCGAATTCTGGGAACGTCTCTTTGGGAAACGTCTTTGCTTTTAATCTCAAGTGCCTTGACACTCACCAGATAGATTCACCAGAGGTAATGATCTTGGGCTGTTTCCAAAAGTCAAATCCACCCCGCTGGTGAAAGTGTTTGTACCTTGAGAATATCCGAAACAACGTGCTGAGCCTCTGAAAGCAAATGTCACAGTATTCTTCTCCCTTAAGGGCAAGGAGGGGGCGCTGTAAGGGCGAATACTACTTTATTTACGTGACTAGAAGTGCGTGAGCACGTGTATACATACCCCATATATACGTGATTGAAGGGAGAAGGTAAGGATGAACCAACGGGGACAGGAGCCTGAATTCAGGAAAGGGCTCGGGGTTTATAAAAGTAGGGAGTGGCTGGCACTATCCGTGTGTGCGTGCGCACGCGCGCCAGAGCAGTGGGCAGGCCCGGGGACCTGAGCTTTGCCTGCTGCTCACAGACGCGCATGAACATTCCACGTGTCTCTGTCTTCTGTCCCACAGCCGCCTCCTCAGAAGGCAGAGCCGAAGAAAGGGCATAACGAAGGCAAAAGAGGTCAAGTAAGTATATGTGTGTGTTCACCACGCTTGTATACGACACAATTCATCGGTGTATTCCCTGCGCCTTTGTCTCTCCTGTAGTCATTTCATTCCAGGACCAGGGCTGCCGTACGTAAGTGGCGCGTCTGCTCCAAGAGCACTAAACCAGGCAGCTTGAGAGCTGGAACAGCATTCAGCCACTGCCTGTCTGCCCACAGGCTACCAGGCCGTCTCTGCCTGTAGCTGTCTGGCCAGCTGAAATCTCAGAGGGCTCAGAGAAGCATTCACGAGCAGTAAGATTGCATTTGAAACCCTTCGGTAAAGTGTCGGGGAAGCTGAATCTCTCTGCTAACTAGATGAAAGGCATGCAGGATGTTTTCGATTTTGGTTTTATTCTGCCAAAGAGAGGAAGAAAAGGCACAAAAGACAGCCACTCCTTACAGCTGGTCCCCACAGGCACCGAGGCACCATTTCCAGTGAAATGCTGCCAGACCTCGGGTTTTGCCAGGAGAGTCAGGCGCACCGTTCTGGTGACAACTGGCCTCGAGAGACGAGCTGAACCTGGGCAGTGGGTCATTTTGGTGATTGTGGGTGCTCTGAACACAAAAATTTCCCCAACTCTCCTGTCATTGAATGGGAGGCCCCTCTCATTGACATTAAAAATGTTGGATGGCTCTTATAATCAACTAGTGTTATCTCCAGTAAAAAGGGGATATTTGTATCTAGGTTCACATTTGCTCTTGACGCTGGTACACGTACACACACACACACACACACACACACACACACGCCCTCAGCATTACTGATGTTGCTTCAACTTGTCATAACTGCATAGTGGCAATGTATGGCAAAGGCACGTCAAGGCTGACCTTGGCAGAGAAGCGTGTGGCTGCCTTTTCCTGGGGTCATTTGAGTCCTCAGATCTTCCTCTGAAATCCGTCCTCAGTGATGCATCCTTCCAGCTGAAGGCTTCAATCCCTTTCAAAATAAACGCATCCTGAAGGAAGGCTGCCTTTTAAAGTTTTAAGCTATATTCTGCTAAAGGGAAATGGAACACAGGGAAGAACGGGTTTGGAGAGAGAGGACAGAGTTAGGGACAGGCAGAACAGGCGTTTCCAGGGGCAGCTGGGAGATGCACCAGCCTGGTGGCGGCGGCTCAGGGCAGCCCCACGTACAGCGGGGGAGCCAGCAAAGGGACGACAGCAGCACACTGCGGACAGACAGACAGACACGTGTTCTCCAGGCCAAGCTGGAAAACCCTGTCAAGTAAAAGCAAACAAGAAAATTACTCCCAGACACCGCAGGGCAGTCAGATGCCAAAGGTCACGCAGAGCTGAGTGGGACCGAGATGCAGGGTTAACGAAGGATCAGAGGAACACATCCTCGCGGAGTTGTGTCTGGTTCTGAAAGGCACCGGGCCCAGGGAACTCCAAGGACAGCCGTGTGTGGTACTCACACTCCCCGTCTTCCTCTGATCCCGCAGCAGCTGATCACAGGCAAGATGTCCCATCTCGGCTGTTTAACCATCACTTCCGACACCATAGAGCAGCCCCTGCTCCTCATACAAGGAATCTGCGAGAACCTGGGGCTGAAAATGGGAATGAACCTGCATCTGGCCATCAACTGCGCCGCACAGGACCTGATGGACTACGTGAGTTTCGGCTCCAGAATGCTGACTCGTGTTGTTGAAGTCCCATTATTTTTTTTCAAAGATTTTATTTATTTATTTTTAGAGAGGGAAGGGAGGGAGAAAGAGAGAGAGAGAAAAGAAAACATCAATGTGCGGTTGCTGGGGGCCATGGCCTACAACCCAGGCATGTGTCCTGACTGGGAATCGAATCTGCAACACTTTGGTTCGCAGCCTGCACTCAATCCACTGAGCTATGCCAGCCAGGGCAAAGTCCCATTATTTTTAAATTAGAACTCAAAAGAAGAGCATGTCTGTATATTTTCCAAACAGATCCTGTTTGTTTGTTAAGTTTTGGGGGCATCAAAATGTAAGTGGAATTTAAAAAGCCAAGTTAGTTAATGCCTAGAGAATAATATAACTATAGACACAAGTTTAGAAATCGAGTGCTTGCTTCCACACTTGATGCCTTGGAGGCTGGCCGGACTTTAAATAAAGGGGGTCGCACTAGAGTTCTGTCAAGATTGCACTGTCACTGCTAGAACTTGCATGCTACCTGAGAAAAGAGTGCCTTCCCATGAACCACTTTACCTTTCATATTGCTTGGTAGTATCTCAAAAGCCTAGCCCTGCTTTCAAATTTCAGGATATTCACTGTAGAAGAAACAAGCTATTTGTTCACTGTGAGCTGAAAGATGGTGGGTTCTAGCATGTAGGCAGGTTTGCATTGCTGCTGCTTGTTTTGTGAACCTGTATTGTTGCCCATCTGCCTAAGCAGCCAGGTGTCTGGCCCCACGTCAATAAGCTAAGGAAGAAATTGTTCCTCTCCTACTCTGTACTCAACTTTTTTGCGCAGAGAACTTCATCCGAAGTCGGTGGGGAGAGCTCTCTGGGGTGAAAGGGAATGGTGACTGAGTTTCCCCAGGTCAACAAATAGCAGATGTTAAAAGTGGCTGGTGTTGCATAGTGGATTGAGCACTGGGCTGCAAATCAGAGAGTTGCCGGTTTGATTCCCAGTCACAGCGCACGCCTGGGTCGTGGGCCAGGCCCCCAGTGGGGAGGGGGGGAGGGTGAGAGGCAACCACATATTGATGTTTCTCTCTCTTTCGTTCTCTCTCCCTTCCCCTCTGTCTATACATAAATAAAAATCTTTTTAAAAAAGTAAAATGCATAGATTTACCATGTGAGTGTGGCCTGGAAACAATCTGATTACAACCTTCTGTACAAAATGAGTGGAAATGGTCTGGAATCGCATTGTTAACACTGAGGAACCCCTCGTGTACCCTCTAACATCTCCCTCCCTCCTCCCAGAACAAAGGGAAGTACGAAGTGGTGACGGGAACGTACAAAAACGCCGCCGAGATGGTTGACCTGTACGTGGACCTGATCAACAAGTTCCCTTCCATTATTGCCTTGATCGATCCCTTCAGGAAAGAGGTAACAGGATTCACCTTGAATCTGATGACAAAACACAGAACAAAATCTCATTCTCTTGGACCTGTCATTTGAAATGTGTTGTGATTTGGGCTGGGCCTGAATTGCTTTATTTCAGCATTTGAGAAAAGGCACTTACTAAGCAAATGAATAGCAGAAACGCAATTACCTAGGGGTGTTGCCTGCCCACAGAATAAAATAAGCCGTTCCAAGCACGCCAGGAGTACCTGTGTGTTTGCAAGCAGCTTCACCGACGGAGGCCCAGCCCGCTGTGCTAGCAGGTGCTTCGGCAGGTTAATCACGTATCTAGTGCTCATGGACACAGGACCTCAGCGAGGCCAAACGTTTTTCAGCCTAAACCCAGTTACCACGTATGCAGAAAAGTAGCAAAGCCTTATTTTTTAATCTTTTTTAAAGATTTTATTTATTTATTTTTAGAGAGGGAAGGGAGGGAGAAAGAGAGAAACAAGAATATGCGGTTGCTGGGGGCCGTGGCCTACAACCCAGGCATGTACCCTGACTGGGAATCGAACCTGTGACACTCTGGTTCGCAGCCCGCGCTCAATCCACTGAGCTACGCCAGCCAGGTACAAAGCCATATTCTTAAAAGGTTTGAGATTTTTTAAAAAAATCCAGTCAAACTAATGTCCAACAAGGGGTGTTTATTTGCCACAGAAGACCACTTCTCTTCCCAACCCACTTAAGCAGCAAAACTTAAATTCTTGGTTTTATGAATTTGGGAACCACTGGATACACTGAAGAGACACCTTTTCTGAGATAACAACTTGAATTTGGGGGCAAGGAGACTGCCGGGTCTGGTTGGGAGCCCCAGGATCTTTCCCTTCACAGCCCAGCTCTATCCCAGCATTTTCGGGAGACACAGACTGAGCTCAGCCCTTTGATGTGGCCAGACACGCCTTCTGACGCTGGCCCTGCGGCTGTGACCGCAGCCCCTCCGAGTGGGAGGAGGTGCATCTGTGCAATCTGTTCTAATGAGCTCTTGGTTGAAATCTGTTGAATGGCTGGGAAGACTTTGAATGTTATTTTCCTTAAATAGGAAGCATTTCATTTCATACAGTGGTCTCACCAATAAAAAATAAGGGTGTTGAGAATGAGGGCCTAGGGCCCTTGTAGGTTTATTGCTTTTTAGTTGTCTCTTTGTCACAAGTAAGAGTGAAATCTTCTCCCCAGCCGATCTTCAGCAGCGTTAAGGATAGTACAGTGGGTGAGGAAAGCCTGGGTTTGGGGAACTTCAGCGTCAACGTGGAAAATAGCATCCAATGGGCATAGACATTTTATTCACTAAACCTTTAACCTGAAATTCACTTTAAGTTTTGGTTCTGAGAAGCTTGTTCATTTGTGTGGCTGTGGTATGGGCATCATGCAGCTGCGGATGCAAAAGAAAACTGTGTTGTGTTATCTCAGAAGAGCATATAACTTTGATTTTGTGCTATACGATTCATGTTGTTTTGTGACATTATAATGATCAACTCTTACATATCTACCCAGGACTCTGAGCAGTGGGATAGCCTCTATAATGCCGTTGGTTCCCGGTGTTACATCATCGCAGGAAGTGCCTCCAAAAGCATTTCCAAACTTCTAGAGGACGGGAGCGTCGGCAGCCCCAAGTCCACTGGGCTGATCATCAAACACACAAATCAAACTACAATGTCGGACTTGGTGGAAATAACCAATCTCCTCCACAGTGAGTAACAGCAGAGATCTGAAGGGCTCATCATGAACTCGGTTATACAAGAAGCCCAAAATATGCACTATGTCAGTTCATCAAAAGCACAGAATACACCGTGGAAGGAAAAAAAAAACCCAAAAACACACCACCGATGTGATTTGGTTGGTGCTGGAAGATAACATGCAGCTCACGTGTTCACGTCACGACACTCCAGCATCAGCCCCCGTCCAGGAGGGCAGCCGCCAAGGTGTGGCCAAGGCCGCTGCGCCGTCCACCTCACACAACACGGCAGCAGCCCCACTGGCCTGCACTGCCTCTTTCATTCCTCAACAGTTTCAAACTCGTTACCGCCTTGAGGTCTTTCCGTATACTGTTCCCTCAGCCTAGAATGCTTTGCCCTGTACTGTTTACCTGGCTAACTACTCCTGATCCTTCAGGTCTTCTTGCCCGGAATGAAACTTCTTCAGATATAGAGGGTGGGACAAAAATAGGTTTACAGTTGTGAGTACATGAAACAGTTTATTCTTATATTATTATTATTTTTCATGCAAATAACTGTAAACCTCCTTCTGTCCTACCTTGTCTGTGCCTTCCCTGACTTCCTCCACCCCTAACTGGTTGCTCTGAACCTTTCTCATAGCAGCTTGTATCTTCTCTTTGCAGTACCGACCACACTTGTCTAATGATTTATCGCCTGCTGTCTCCCTCTAGACTGTAAGCTTCCATGAGAGCCTTGTTCACTTACGCACGGCACAGCAACGTTAGTATGAGGAACTAGACAGAAGGCTAGTCTCAGGCCTGGAGCAGGTGCCCGAGGGTGGAACGAACGGCCGTGGTCCCCAGTCGGGGGCCCGGCACTCAGCAATCACCCTGGCCTTCCCTCCAGGTTGCGGCTGTAGCTCCTGCCGCGCGCGCACACACACACACACACACACACACACACACACACACACACACCCCTCCTCCCCGCCACTCTGGGACCTACACTGGCTCCCAGTCTTCATAGGCTCGTAAATCTCAGGAGGTTCTGCACTGCTCAGATGATTAAATATTTCCACTGCTGCTCCTCCAATAGGTAAACATTCAGAATGGCAGGTTCCTTCGAGCGGAATTCCACGCAAGGAATTGTGAAGCCTGTTCATTACTTAGGGCCGCCACCTCGCCCTGCCGCGCCCTCACACTCACCTGGCACCGACGCAAAGGTGCATTTTTCTACGTTGAACGTGGAAGGAACTGAATCGTGTCTTACAGCTGTGGTCCTAAAAATGTGTTGCTCTAATCTGAGCATTTTGCCCCTTTGGTGGTAATAATGGTGAATCTTACAATTTATCGTCTCTTAAATGTGATGAAATGTGGCATTCACGTGGTATTCAGCATCTCAGCTCATGGAAAGGGCTAAACAGATGAAACCAGGGTAATATACAAATGCAAATGTTTGGGTTAGAATTCTTAGGTGGTCAAATAATTGACTCCCCATGGGAAGTTTTAAATGTCTGGAAATTTTTAATGTTGACCCAGTGGCTCCTATGTATGCTGCTCCTGGTTTCCGTGCCGCTGACACCTGAAAAGAACCCCGTTTGCAGGTACGAGGCACATCGCAGTGTTCGGAAGCACAGCAGGAGAGTGCCTTGACGACAGCATCGCTGATTTGGTAAGTGCTGGAGGCCGGCCAGTTGCCGAATTGCCAAAACACTGCTTTCATCACGAACTGGTATTTCAGAGAAATGCAGTCTTTGGCAGAGAAAGTTATGTAACCTTTTATGAAATAGACTTGCTTCCTCCCAGACAGCTCTGTTTTGCAAAGAGCTCATCTTTGGACTTCTAAAAAAAACAAACAAACAAAGAAACAAAAAAAACAAACAGAAAAATTGAAGTCCTGGGAAAAAATGATGAGCACCCTTCAATGACCGGGGTGTGCACCTGTAACCTCACCTCCTAAAATGAAGGGAGTAAGGCCAGAATGTTCTTAGGTGCAATCGGCACGCCTGTGTGGCTAGGAAAGCATCTGGTGTAGACTCGCTTTACCTCTCTGCCACTAACACCCTCCACTTTAAGCAGGCCACTTTACCTGTGTAAAGACAAGACACTAAATTTGAGAGAAACACCAAAACAGCACACAGTGACAGTTCCTTCTGGCAAAATGTGACTCTTCCACTGATAAGTTGTTTTCCCCTCTTAAGGCTGTGGGACTGGGTGTCCGGTTTATCAAGTTGGGAGGTCTTTCTCGTGGCGAGCGGGTGACTAAGTACAACCGCGTTTTCACCATAGAGGAGGAGCTTGTCCGGAGCAGAATCCTGGGTACGTGTGGCTCGCTTGCTTGCTTGGCCTTGAGTAAGAGAACAAAGATGGGCAGAGGGCGACACAAGTCCCTCGGCAGGAGGGCGGAGGGCTCTGAGGACTGTAAATACGTGCTGACAAACCAGGACGGCACTTGCCACAATGTATATTGTTTTCTGAATGGATTGCCTACTTACCGGAACGTTTAAAACTGTTGCTGTTCTTGATAAACAGGCTGCGTGATGCTTTTCAGTAGAACTAATTGATTGGAATCTCCAAGCCCACCTTTTGTTATGGTCCGAACTAGAGCTAAAGTTCCTCTGCACAGCCGGTGCAGGTTAAAGGCAGATTTTTCCTGATGGTGCTTGGAAACATCTCCTTTTGCTTACGACAAGTAGGCAGCCTGTTCATGTCCATGTTGTCCTCTGGGAAGGCTATGGCCTCAGGAGAAATGAACCCATCACTTCTGGCCTCAAGCCTTTGTAAGTCTGCATGGGTCGAGTTGCCTTGTGTATTGGCTGACTGGAGAAAAACACCCCGAACGAGCCATTTCACTTTTTCTATGACTGATGGGGATGGCCAAAAGTAGGTATGTAGCATGCAGAGACATTCAATCAATTGTTACTGTTTTTTGTAATTCTAAAATAATTTTGTATTTTAATTTTTTTAAAGATTGTATTTCTTTTTAGAGAGGGGGAGAGAGGGACAATGAGAGGGAGAGAAACATCGTTGTGTGAGAGAGAAACAGTTGCCTCTCGCACGCCCCCAACTGGGGACCTGGCCGGCAACCCAGGCATGTGCCCTGACTGGGAATCGAAACGGCGACCTTTTGGTTTGCAGGCTGGCACTCAATCCATTCAGCCACACCAGCCAGGGCCTATTTTGTATTTTAAGATAGAACAAATGACTTTATATACTGAAGAACAGTGTATGTTATTTAAGTAGTGCGGATAATTAAAACACGAAATGTCCTTGGATGCTAAAGTCCATGAAACGAGATGGATGTACCCTAGATGTAAGGCGGAGCAATGACAGGAAGGGAGCAGTCCTACTTTACGACTCAACACACGCATTCAAGAGGAAAAAAATGGAACCAGTGGAAACTGCGACTAAAAAATTTATGTTTAACACACGTAATGATCTTGAAACACCCCAAGAGTCACAGAAAATAAAGATATAATTGGGAGACTGTCTAGGCCACATGAGTCAGGTAATGGTAGTCAAAAGTGACTTTGCGTTGTTTGGCGTGTGACACAAGGCTTGTTTTCCAAACAGGCACAACTATATTCTTCCTACACATTGCCCGATGATTTTTTCACGCCCTGACTTGCAGAACCATAGGTCCCTTAAATGACTCGCCACGTTTCCAGCCAGACTTCCCACAAGGGGAACAGCTGCTTCAGGGCACCAAAAAGGACTCCAGTAGCCGGAGAACAGCCCCTCCCCGTTGACCATGCAGGCCCCTGAGCATTCTGGGACGGATGAATGGATGGATGAGAGTCTTTCTGACGTGGGCAGGGGACCATAAATGTTAAGGGAACCCAAAACTGGAGAAACAAATCTCTCCACTGAGAGACTGAGTAGAAATCTTGGCAAAAGCTAAGCTAATCAAACACTGTCACTGGCTACAGGGACCTGCCTGGGCCAGTCTAACCGGCCGTCACTGACCGGGGCGGAGTTAGCAGGCAATGGTTTATAGTCACATCGAGCGCTGGCCTTTCCTCTGGTTCCCCTTCCTCCTCTTGGCCTTTTCGGCTAAGCTGCTGCCCACAGTCCGCTGCACCCCACACGCTGCAGAAGGCTGCCCGGGGGGTGGGGGGGGCGGTGCGGTGCAAACTGAAAAAACAAGTCGTGCCCATCTGATGTGTCACCAGAACAGGCCCGGTTTCAAACGGCTCTAGAACCCTTTCTCGGGGTGACGGGACACCTGCAGACGGTTCTGAGGACGGCCTTCTTGACGCCACGTAACATCCGACTGCGGCTGTTTCCGACAGGTTTCAACGAAGAACTCGTCTTTTCTCACGTGAGCAAGGAGGACAGGAAGGCCGCCAAGGCTGGCGAGCCGCCCGAGCCCTGCGTCCCCGCGGAGGCCGTGTAGGAACCGGCCACCCGGCAAGCGCCCTCGGCACGGGGCTGCGCGCGCCCCACTCACGGCCACGGCACTGGACTGGTCTGCAGCACGTCCTCTCCCCACTGGCTGCGCTCCAAATGTCGCGAACTCGTGCGCTGTTTTTCCCTCACCGTTTGGTAAAATACACAGATAGTATTTCTGCCTGACACTGTCCCTGTGGACTCTGTCTTATCGGCCGTCGCCTTGCCACGGAGGTCGTGTTTGCGCACGGGCTCTGCTGTCCCCGAACGGGGGCCTGGGGCAGGGGGTCACCTAGGAACAGAGTCCATCCAGTGCTTTTGTTGCCAAATCCACACTCAGTTCAAACGCCTCGCACTTGACAAAGGAAGACATCTCGGAAGACAAAACCCTTCACACAAGGAGCTCTCGGTGCCAGGCACGGGCGCACACCTGTGTGTATCTTACGCCCCTGAGCGAGAACGCACCGGCGGTTTCGTAGCCTCAGCCTCGTGCAGAAGGGAGAGCGCCTCACTGTTCTCTGTACAGCCGGGCAGGTCCCTCGTGCTTCCCGGCCCCGAGCGCCCTTCGCCCGATGCCCTCCGCCCCGATGCCCTCCCCTTTCTCACTTTTAGTTTTTCTTGTATTATCTGTGTCCCTGTGAGTCTCTCCTGTCAGTTGTTTTTGTAACGGGAGTCAGTGTAAGTGAATAAACACATGCATGGACAGATAAACATTCTTAAAGGAACCAAACGCTCCATTATTTCGATCATAGTGCCTAAGAGATGATTGACGGCCATGCCACATATAGGCTGATGGAACTGCCTCTTCCGTAAGGGGACCGAGGCCGTGGCAGGGGGATAACAGAGATGAACGCCTATATGTCCAGTCCCACACCTATAGATGACGTAATGCCCTGCTGCTCTGCATGTTCAGATTCTCTGCTACAACCAAATGATCGTTTGCTTTTCCCAAAACCTACATAAAGTGCTGTGTAGTGATTACGGGAGAGTTGGAGAGTTGGCTCAGTTTAGAGTTTTGATATATTCTCCACGTTTTTACCAAACACACGGAGGACCTCTCCTTTTGAAGAGTCCTAACAGGGAAATGTAGCGGTCTTAGGGTAGAGCCCAGGCCTTACCCTCGGAGCAGTGACCTAAAACCGGCTCAGGGGCCGAGTCCCTCAGAGCACAGGGCCGGCGAGCCGGCTGGTCTCGCTCCCAGCTGGGAGAGCAGTGTGGTTTGTGGCTGCCGCTGTCTCCCCTGACGCTTGGAGCATCTGGAAGGAAAACCCATTTTAAAGGCAGGAGGGGCGGACTGGCTGTTCACACAGCCTTTGCAGGTATACATGTATGCACACGCACACACGAAACATGGGAGGTCATGTGAGAGTATTCCCTGGAACTGGGACACAAATTACAATGAAATGAATGAAACCAGAGGGAAAAAAGGAGCAACGAAGTAAGGAGCTACGTCCAACTAGCCGAGGAGGTCATTCATGACCTCGGCAGGATCAGCACTGCCATTTCAACACAGGGCACAGCCCACTTGCCTGTACCTCACTCGAGGAGTGGGGTCACCAGTGGGCAGGTAGCATTTTAATTTAAAATGTTTAAGTGATAAAAAGTACTGTTTGTTTTCTCTCTCTGTTACATGATGGGCATAAATACATAATACATGATGGGCATAACACATACATATCATATGTAAGACATGAGCCATAAATGAGCTGAGAGAAACTAGTGATACCCCGTCTTTGGAGACGACAGCCCTTGGGTGAGGGCTGCCTGGTGAGCTGCCAAGGTCAGTGCTGATGACGGACGGCCGCCCACTCTCTCTCTCAACTTATTTCCATGTAAGGGACAGTCGTTCCAGGATCAAAGCGACGGGACATGTAGAATGTGCAGTGCATTTAGAAAAGTCGTCCAAACTGTGTTTTAGGATTCCACTATCTGGAATAGCAACCGAATAACGTTCTGGAAAGATCATTAACGACGATCCCTACCGGTACCACTCCGTTTCCAACGCCTCACTGGTAACGAAGCAGGGAAGGACGGAGGCTTCCTGGTGGGTGGCCAGAAACAGGACACCCGTCCTTTTACCCAGACCAAGCAAGGCGGGGCGGTTACAGCCCTGGGGACCCCTGCCAGCCCCGGTCTCCACAGGACTGTGGACGCTGGGCGAGGCTGGGAGACGAGCTCAGACGTGGAGGTGCTCGAGTTTCCATTAAACTCGTGTTCTTTCAGAAGAAGGGGGGCATTATCTTTTTCTTTAACAACAAGAACACAGGTCTCCCTTTGCCTCACTCTCGCAATAAAAATGCATCGATGTGAGTTACCCAACTCCACGGCAGATGTGACATAATTCGTATTTCTAAAACAGAAGGCAGAATAAACCATTTTTTAGAGAGAACAAGGCTACAAACATGGCAGTCCCTTCCAACTTGAAAATAGTGTAAGTAGGGCGTCTACAATTTTACACCAAAAGCTAAGCAGGTACCCAGAAGATACAAGCAGTGGTCTCCCCAGGTCTCCCCATCCCAGCCTGCTTGTCGACTACGGCACCTCAGTGGGGGCAAAACTTCCCAAAAACTGATGTGAAAGAGGGAAAACTGTAGGCAGAGAAAGGCAAGTGAAATCCTACATCAAACACCTTGGTATCTGATTAGTTTCAAGGGATGTGATCACGGTGGAGGGAAGCACGCGGCTCGGAGAAGAACACTCCTTCGGGCTGCCGGCACTAACCGCGGCCGGCCTCGCTCACACACCCCCCACCCCCCGTGGCTCACTCCTCAGCCTGGAAGTGATGGTGCTCTTACAACAGCACTAGTCTGTTCAGTGCGTGACGAAACAGGGAATGAGAGCACACACCCTTACATCCCTAAATGTGCGCGGTGCATCTCAGTGGACTGAGGACGGACACAGGAAGGGGGAGGGCATGAAGAAACGGGGAGTAAAATTCCTCAAAATAAACCACTTTGTGGATTATTAAAAATCACTAAAGTTGGGTCGTCAAGGAGCATGTATAAAGGACACACAGACAAAGCCAAAGGGAACAGGATCGAGGGTGGGAGGCGGGGGTGGGTGGGAGGAGAGGCAGGGGTGGGGGGAAATGGAGACAGCTATACTTGAACAACAATAAAAAAAAGTCACTAAAGTTATCAATGCTCACATAATTTTTTTTTAAAGAATGTCGAATTTGGGGACCTCATCCAAAAATGTCAATAACCACAAGTGACCTTTAATGGGATGCTGTTGGTGTTTTTGTTTTTTTTTTTAATAAGTGTGGTGAGGAGAGTTCAAATCACAGCATAACAAAACTTGTTCAAGTGAATTAATGCGGTCGGTAGGGAGAGTATCACAGAGCAGTATTATTCAGTTGGGGAAAGTTACAGTTGAAAACATGACATTTTAATTTCCCAGGAGTAAACTGGTAACTGTCAAATCATCACGGGAAGAACATGAAACAGGCAAGCAGAACGAACCTACGGAAGGATAATTATCTCCAAGCTTAGGAAGCACATTCACCTGCCTACCCACCCCTTGAAGCCTATGCTTAGCACACGTGCAAGAAAAAGTACAATACAACTACTGCGATTATGACGATCATTTTCTTCCGCCCTTCGCTGAGAAACACCTGACAGCCACATGCTGAGCTCTGCTAACAAAACGAAACCTTTCACTTTCTTTAATAGTAAAATTACCATTACTGAATCACTGTCATAAAATAATGCATTCAAGCACATTACCACTTATTTTAAATAAACATCAATTTTGAAACAATCGACTTTGCAACGCTGCATAAGTTTTGTGTTTTTTTTTTAAATCCCTGATTACATTTCTATTTATTCACTGTGGTAGACTGAAACATTGTATTTTTACAGACTAACTACCACTTAATTTCTCACAAAAAAACAAAACAAAACAAAACCTAACAACAAAACTGTGTAATGTAGAACAGCAGTGAAGCGAGAAAACGAGCGCTGTGAGAAAACACGGAGCTTGCGCCGCATCGGTACACGAGAAAACCCAGTGACCTCAGCACACAGCGCGTGGCACTCCTCCTGAAGTCAAGGATTGGAGCGTCACCTGAGTGCCGCGTTCCGGCCAGCAGAGCACGCCCACCAAAGCCCTCGGGAGGCTCTGGAGCCGATCAGTAGCAGGTAGTGTTCATCCCACAGGTAACAGCGTGTGTAATTAGCACTGACTGAGGGACTACTGGTTTGATGCCAGCCTCTGAATTTTACGTTTATCTCGGTATATCCTAGAAGGTAATCCGTATGCCACAGCGCCTCACAATTCCCATGCCACTGCCGTTTCTCCATCAAGAGGGTCAGATCCAAAAAGAAGCTTACTTGGGGGCTTTTAAAATCATCTTAAGATATTCATCCTGTTTATGCAATTGACCACAGCACTGCAAACTTCCAGCATCACATTTCAATAGTGGTAATGCACATTAACTAAAAAAATAGCAACCTCTGAATTGTTTGTACCCTTCTAAAAAAAAGTCACACTTAATACAGTAATTAGAAAAAAAAAACCTTATCCCTATAAATATTTAAGAAAACTACACGGCATGTGCAATTTGCTAAACAGCTTACTTATTTGTATAGGTGAACTACTTATAAAAGTGACGTCGGGAAAGAGCCTCTACTCTGAGTACGGCGGTAAGAACAGAAAGTCCGCAGCCCTCACCCACACGCCGGAACGACGCCCGTGCGTGTTGGAAAGGACTTCTGAGTGCGCTGGCCTCCTGGGTTCCGGGTCAGCAGCTGGAGCTGTCTGCGTCTCTCAGTTTTTCAGCGCTGTCCTCTTTGTGTTCTGGTTTCGTGTCGCCTTCGTCATCCTCACGCTGAGTTGGATCTTGCGCAGCAACCTGGTCTTTGGTTTGGGGTTCACGTGTGGAAACAGGATCTAAAACTACAACCGGCTTAGCTTGTTTTTCACTGCCGACGTCCTGTCTCCTCCATCCGGTGCTACTGGGAGGCCTAGGGGATGAGCAGGTCAACAAAAATGAACAGCAGAGAGAGAAAACACTTTCGTATTCCTGAATTCAGACGAACAGAAGACCCCACACGTTCTCAGCCTAAGCAACATGCACAAAGTGGTCTTTGAGGTGCCAGGCATTTACAAAAGTGAAGCTATTAGATTACGTATTGGGAGCACAAGGTCAGAAGGAAGAAGGCAGGAAAAGTCAGAGCAGTTCACCACAGGAGTGTTAAAAAGGCAAATGCACCTACCTGCTTCATGGCATGCTCCCCGCAGGAAGTGCAAAGCTCAGGGACACGGGCAGACCTCCCCACTGCCGGAGGCCCGACTCCTGTCCCGACTTCACTTAGCTGGTAGGGGCCGGCTAACCCCCTGCCTCGCGTCCCTGGGCACACATGGTTGCAGCTTAGCCCTGAGGGGACTGCCCGGACGGACGAGGGAAGCACATCACCCTCACCACTGACGGACAACCGAGGCGCGAGGAGAAATGTGGTCAGAAATGGGGGTGAGGGGAGGAGCAAGGGCCGATGGGAGAACCCAGGGAACCAGCTAAAATGCTAAGTTACCATAAACCTTTTCTAAAAAGAATCGTGTTTCTGGAGAAATCTCTGACGGAATTGCAGATGCTGTTTATTTTCCCACCGAGGCTTTCCCGTCCTGTCTTCTGATGCAGAAGCTACTGCTCTGCAAGCTGAGGGGGTGGCAACGTCCTTGTGCAGGGGGACGTCCCGGAACACACACGCCAGGTGTCAGGAAACGAGCAGCTGGCACCTCCTCCCCCCCCAAATCACAATCGGGAGCCACCACCTGAAGGTACTGGGCTGCTGCCCTGGTGCCTGAGGGTCGAGGGGTGGGTAGTGGGCAGGGCAGGGGCCTTTTGGACTTATCTGGTCTCCTCGGTAAATGCCGGGATGTGCACCATGAGCCAGCACAACCCCTGCCCACCTTTGCATGCCGGGCTCTGCCCACGGTTCTACCAGCCCCTTACCTGGAGCTGGTTTCTGCTCCCCCTCCCTGACTCTGGAAGCAGATCGGATCTGCTGGTCGGACGCTCTCGTACCCCTCAATACTCCCCACTGTCCCTTGTTGGACTTACTGCAGTTATAGGTAAACACTGTGCAAATACAGTGCAAGCGACCCCGAAACCGGACTGTTCAGCTCTGTCCACAGGTGTAGGCCAGCTAGCACCTAGCACGGACCCGTCTGTGGAGTTAGCGAATGAGCGCATACCGATTAACTGTGTGAAAGGCTCGTGAGGAATGGGCAGGAACCGAGGCTCGGGTGTGAGCAGGTCTGGGAGTCTCTCTGACACGACAAGAACAACAGGACAGGTGATCAACCACTAAGGGGAAACGACCTGCACAGCCCACCACAGGCACGAAACCCTCAACCCCAATGACCGCAGCTGTGTTACTGCCCAGCCAGTGCTATGAGATCCATCCAAACTGGGAAAGCCACTCCGCCTGGCTCTCTGGTTATGCTGCGTGACGTGCTCGTGTCGCTAAGTGACTGAAGCAGAACTCTGTCTTCCTTGGAGATGGTAAAGCAAAGGGGTGACCAGGCTAGGCTGTCGTGAGGACAGATTCTCAACTGGGCAATGCCCTTGTCGTTAGACATCACCAAGACACTGCGCATCTACCTTGGCTGAGGATCCACTTCTCACGACGTCTGTTACTCTACTCTGGGAACCAGAATGGGCTATAGTTCCCCTGGTTTGACTTTCTCTGAACCAGGAAACACCCTGAAAGACCTCACCTAGTGGGGTGTTGTCAGAGAAGCCCACCCCTGCAACTGACGGAGGGGTTAACCACAGGAGTGCGACCCCAGGCAGTGGAGGGAGCTGTTAGGCGGTCTGTTTCAGGCTGCTGCCTCTGCAGCTGATGCTGGGCCTGAGGCCAGCAGCTCTGGCAGCCTGAAAAGTGGCCAGAGGCGGCAGACAAGCCAGTGCTCTCTCGGAGTCTCCACATCCGATATGCAGAGCACCTGCTGGATAAGCCGGGGTCCTTCCTCTCGGAAATGCGCATGCACCTGGCCTGGGACAGGAGAAGCTGGAGAAACCGAGGGCCAGCTGCGGCCACATGCCAACTAGGTGACAACATGCGTGAACTGGAACAGCATGAACCTTCAGAGTATTAAAACAAAAGGCTACTATGTGACTTCTGCCTTCTTGATCTCATGCAGATTTCTTGTGCGGCTTCCCTAACGGAGGAATTCAAGGGAACAAGGGAATTCTAGGAAGTGAAGCTCCAGCCTAGCTAGGTTGCTGCAGTCAAAGCCACGGAGCCTGCAGCTCAAGCCGCCAGTCTGTCTCCACCATCCTGGGGTTGAGCTCACTGTATATAAGCCAGCCAACCCGCACTAAGCATGCGAAGGAGTATTTATCTCATTCTAGGTGAGCAAATTCCATCAGCCCATACTGACCTGTACCACTTCTGCAGAACTAGTGAGGAGGTTTCCATGCCCACGTGTGTCTGCAGGTGAAGGGGTGCTGGACCCATCCTAAGAAAGCTTTCTTCACCAGTGGGAGGCCGAACACTTCCAGGAAGCGCTCTCAGGGCTTCACAACAGCAACAACTGAATGCTGACTGAACCGAACACTCGGAAACCTCGTATTGTCAGGCTGAAATTGTCCTGGAATTGGCTCGGCCCAGAGAATTCTTCCTCTTTCTTGGAGCAAGCTTCTCCACTGCAGATGAATCTACTATTGAATCACCTGGGGCTGCAGTGGGAGAGCTCCTTTGCTGGTTAGCACTGAACTTGGCACAGTGGGCGATTTCCCCGAATCTGTGCACTGCGAGTCGGAGTTCCCGAGGTTGGTGAGCACTGACTTGGGACTCCGGTGGGCTAAGACTAAAAGGGACCACGGTGACCATCTGGCCCAACCTGTCCTTTTCGGATGAGGAGAATGGCGTTTGGAGAGGGGAAGGGCCTGGCCTGAACTCACAGCTCACCAGTGGCAGAGCCTCAGTGACCATCGGGAGCTCCAACGCCGTGCGCCTGCTTTCTCACAGCACCACGCTATTCGCCAAAGGCATCTTCTCGTAAAAAGTGATGATGCCACAGGCTAATTTTGGCAGGTTTGATCATTTCTTTCTGCATCCCTGATTTTGGAGGTGTCTTTCCGATAAGTAAACAGAAAGTCCATCCCTTCAAGCTACCCTTGCTTTTTATTTTATTTTATTTTTCCCCTCTGTGACCTGTATCAGTGGTTCCTCCTGGGTTGACATCGGGTCCATTCCTGGTTCCCATGGGCAGCAGCCCAGGGTGCCCTCTGGAATGAGGAGCCTTCCTTCCAGGCTTCATTCCAACTCCACTCCCTTCCATGCGAAGGGCGAGAGTGCCCCATCAGGAACACTGCCAGGAACCCAGGCTCCTGCTCTTGGCAACTGCAGCAGCGGCTTTGAGGAGGCTAAATCTGAAGTTTCTCCCCCAAGGCAAAAATTCCAGGCACTCAAATGCAACAATCCAACAGGAATCCGATAGGTATGGTGTTCTGGTCAGTCTTTCTACTTGAATTCTGCAGCTAAAGGCAATGACCACAAACTAGGAATTCAAAGTCAGCACTCACCGAAAAGTACGGCAGACCTCCTGCATCCTGCAAAATCTCCAAGTAACCTTGGAATTTACGGGTCAGATAGAGTAAGAGTTAACATCAGGGATGGTCAAGGTGACAGGGATCACCGACCCCTTTTCATTCGTCAAATGAAGACACCAAAGACATGTGTGAAATGATGTCCTAGGCCATACAACTTGTGAACAGCAGACAACAGGACTAAAATTGTGGAGTCCTGATTTCCTGTCCAATATATATATTTTTTCTTACCACCACGGACCAGTAGTCATTTACAATCTATTCAAATAGATATTCTCACAGGTCATTTTAGATTATCTGCCCAAGGGCTATTTCAAGACAACGTGAAAAGGCAAAAACAAAATAAAAGCTAGGAGATGATATGCTAATGTCTGCTACGCTATGAAGAAGCCTGGTAGTGCAAGCACAAGCTGGGCGCCCTTTCGGAGAGCAGCGACGTGTCCCCAGCTGCAAGAGGGCCAGAGAGTGGGCCGGGGACGGGTGAGGCCATTTGCCGATGGAAGGAAAGACTTGACTCCCAACTGTACTGGTACCGGAAGAACCGCAACAACTGCAAACAGTACTGCCAGAGCTGAACTTTCCGAAGGACTCGGTGATTTCTCAGACTGTATTATGAGGAGAAAATGTAGCATTCTAATTTTTTAAAAAGCACATCATTGTTTGCATTCAATGAAATTCCTTTCAAAATCAACTTTCCACGTTCCAATTATGTTCCAACAACATTCTAGCTACCGTTGCGGCTGCAATTCAAATTAACTAATGCCCCAAAGAGCCCTAATCGACGTGGTTCTGAGCTCAATTGAATGCAATCAAAGCTCATGAAATGAGGGGGAAATGCTTATTTCATGCAAATTCTACATATCACTCAAGCTTAATTTTACTGATAATATAAAGGTGGGACATTTTGAACATTACAGTGAATGAAACTTTTAAGCGGTGAGAGTTATTTTATAAAATGCTACCTCTGAAAAGCTGATTGCCAAACAGTATAAAAATGGCTTGAGGCATAAATGCCAAGTTCATTTCTATTTCACTTCTGAGGTAACTATCTTTCAAATCGCAACAGCTGGACTATTTAACACAATCTGGTGAATCAAAGTATAGTCCTTCCCCGGTCTCCCAGTGGGACGTCTGCATTAGTCGGTGGCAGCTGTCCAAGCGTGATGCACAGCCTGACGGTCTGCACTCCGTTTCATTTACAAGGAAAATGGGCAAGGCTGCAATCACAGTTACCACCTTCAAGGGCAGAAAACGGAAAGATTCAAATTTGTCTTCATAAAGTAGTTTCCTGGGAAAACTCCAAAAAGGAAGTCCGTGCTCTATTTTCCCTTGTGCAAAAATAAGTCTTACTCTCCCCCGCCCCCGCCTCCGCCCCCACCCCCAGCCCTTTATCCGGTCACAACAGCG